CCACTCCAACAAATAAACACGGTGAGGGGCAGTTTACCGATCAAAAATGACCCGCTAGACGGACGTAGGAGCGGGATACCTGAGGCTTCCTCTCGACGGTGGGAGAAGTCTTTGCACTTCATTGGACAGTTACCGCCCGCCCAAGCTGGGCAACCCCCAGCCAATAAGGTGCTGTCCCGTCCACGTTCCGCTTGTCTCATTGGGTGCATAAGGCTAAGGGCTGATCCCAAAAAAAGCGGACCGATAATGAACGCACCAGCGAACTGCACAATTAATCGAAATCCAAAGACCTTGCGTGACAGGTCTCTAGAAGCTCCTAGACGGATGCTTTGTTCACACTCCCGTGTTGGATTTACGCCCCACTGCCTTGTGGGTCAGACTTTAGAATCGAAGGCTTAGGTTAGGGTTCTCAAAGAAAAAACCCTTTGTCGGTTTGGGCTACCGCGAAGTAACCTCATAAGCACGTATTCTAGTTAACAAAGAACAGTTTTTCACAGACTTTGTTAACAGTTTTGGGATTTAAATCTTGTTTATCATTATTGTGTTTTTTATTTTCTTCCTCTCTCCAACTTGTACATTTTTCAACTGAAATGTAGGCTTCATGCCTAGAGAAGTTATTATAATAAAATACAGTACCGTTTACGCAGCATTACTCTAGTTAGATATTGCGGTTAGGTGCAGAGTTTTAGATGACCACGATTGTCTGTGCGATGCAAGCCACCGGAACGGCTGGTTTTCCGTACAATTTTTCCCTAAATATACATATTGTGTATAATGTGCTTAACGATGCATAACTGAACCTGAATGAAAAATGAGCATGTGACTGGGAATAGAGCGGGACAGGCGTTTCCAATCAGACAATAACACAAGCAACTTAAATCCACTACTCATCACACCAAAAGTCTACAGTTTTCTAAAAACGGATTGATAACCGATCCACATTATTCCCATAGATGCTTCCTCCTCGGTGAGAGAGTATGAATTTTATATGATGAATTCGTTGTGTCAATGAGGTGTGATTTCACAGGCTGGGAAACACTGAACAGTTGTACCGACTTGGTTGGATTTCATCAGCGATGCGAATCCATCAACCCGACTGGGGATCGAACCCGGGACTTCAAAGAGAGAATGCAAGCACACTACACATTCGGTCATCGGACAGTTGATCACTTTTTGGTATGAGTTTTGGAGAATTCAAAAAGTTATGCGGAATTCCAGTCGCGGAAACCCCAACCGTACCCTCCCGTACATCCGGTGCTTGTTATTTTCAATACCGTACCAATCAAATATGGATAGTAGCAACCTATAACTTCCTTCGATCGTCATAAATAAACCTTGTTTTCGATAATATCCAGTTCGTTTGGGGGGCAATGTCTAGTGAACAGGTAACAATGCTCAACTGAACGACAAAGTTAGTTGTGTTAAAGACGTGCTGTATTTCACAAAGTGAACGAATAGGGCTCGAGGTTTCATTGCTATCAGACCACTGATAAGTGTGTGTCCGAGATGATCTGATCTGAACACGGGAACTCGTGGCTAGATACGCATTGAAGGGTGGGGATGCGTAAAACCTATCTGAGAACGTTCAGATCAGTTCTTACAAACGTAAACCATGCAGTTTCGTACGCCAGTTTTGGTTGCCCGTTTGGATAAAACAGCAGAAAGAAGATTGGAATGTTGAGAGCAAATTCAAGCGGAAGATAGAAGAGAATTTATGTAGACTGACGTTACAAGAATAATGGGTAGATGCATGAGCGCCACTGTTTGAGACATCCAGTCGTATCGCTCAGCGTCTCTAACCATCGGTGACAATGATCTCGGGGTCCACAGCCAGGGAGCCTAACGGGGCCTACGTGACCTAGTCTCCTGGTCAGGATTTTCATATCCTCTTACCATGTCTTCGTTTGACATTCCTTGATCTTTTTCCAACCGCTACGTGCCCTGGCAAACATCGCTCGCCGTAGCAACCTATCCGGTGACATGCGTAACGCATGCCCCAGTAATCTATGGAAGTAGACTACTTGCTCCATTGGACGACCGCGATTACCTGGACTCTACGTCTAACCTCAGCATTGCTCATCCGGTTACCCCACCAGACTCCTGCAATGATACGTAGACAGCGGTGTTCGAAAACCGAAAATTTATTTTTATCCTGTTCCCGTAGCAGCCAAGTCTCTGCACTGTAAAGCAGAAATTTTACGTGGAAAAAAAGACTGGCATGAACTGCCTCTTCTTGGAATCAGGACGCTTAGTCAAATCCTCGAGGTGAACTGCCAGTGGTTTACCGCCCATGTATCCTATACATATATTGTTCACCGGCTCGCGAGCAAGCTTAGTGCCAAAGCAACAATAAGAATAACAGAACACTGGGCATTGGGATGCATAGGAGAGTAAGAGGGGATGAAACAGTTAAGTTGAATAACGAGAATAACAATTTTGCTTGTTTGTTTCATCGTATACAGTTGATATTTTGTGTGTGCGTGTTAGTTTCATTTTTATGGGTCACGGGATTTCAACAAGCACACCATACAGCATTCACGTCTCTGACTTCTATTCTGGGCCGCATCTCCTAGCTTAAACTAGACCGGTTCTGACCACTGCAAGCGGTACACAGTGATAACAATCCGCGAAGGGAGACCATGGAGAACAGAAACGCTCCACTTACCTGAACATCTGAAGTGAGTATGGAGAACATGAAATACAGATAGCACAGGGTGGGTACCGCCTGGATCAAACTGTCCAAAACGGCTGTGTATGAAATCATAGCGGACTGCGTCGGATCGTTCGGTACGAGACGCGTCAAAACGCGCCAAACTGTTTCCATGCGCTTCGAGTACGCGTGACTCGCTTTGACCAATGTGGACGGTCTGACGGAATTCGTCAGATCCGGTTGGACAAAACTGCCCCCGATTGGGGTTTGAACAAGCAATTGCAAAGCCAGTGATTCATGGCCCAGATTGTGTTTCAGCGCGCCGGAACCGGAAAACACGCCCAATTCCAAATCCACATATTGCTAAAACAAGATACAGGGGCAACCAAGTTTGATAGGTGACTGTCAGGGGAACTGGGGCAGTTCGGTATGCAACAGTAAATTTTTCTTGTATTTTGTATTTGCATAACTTTTGCAAAATTATTATGCTAACATTTCATTTAAACATTATACACTGGTCGTCACACCGGAGGAAATATAGAAATATGCACAAATCCGATAGAGTGCTGTGTAAAAATGTCTCCGAAGTTTGATTAATTCAAGTAAAAATTGGCGTAATTCATTTATAACTCGTTTCTTGTCAGTCAAGATTCGAGCCAGATATGGTACAGGGGAGTTTTTATAAATGTCTATTTGTGAGGGTAGACTCCGATAAGAGGGACGAGTGATCGAGTGGGAGCAACAAGAAGGAGAAGTCCAGATGCAAAGGATGGGAGGTGTCGTTTAGAATCATATTGGCAAAGATCACGCAAGACGTCATATGACCATTATTAAGTTCTGTGATTAATGACTCGGCAAAAAATTGAAGATGCATAGCTTATTATCACCAATCCACGACGGATAGTTTTAAAGTCTTCTTTCGAC